TATCTTGCTGGCTTCTCTGCCAGGCTTATATACTAACAAAGGGGGTGTCCCGAATGCACTCGGGCCTCCCCAATCATTCATGATCAGTCGAGAAATTTCACGTACTCTACCAGCGCCAACGCGCCAGCAGCGTCACGTGACTTCCGCTGTCGTAACAGTTCCTTTATCTTCTTCATTTGTAATATTTTATTACTGGAATATCTTAAAATAACCAGTTATATGATAGAGATTTGCACACTGGAACAAAATATGAGAAGGACATTACAGAAGTTATCATCAAGTATTTAGCGCTTTTAACGGCTACTAATAATCCTTTAGAAAAGCTTCTACAAGTGAATGAAAAATTAATTACGCGTGATGATTAAGCATTTGCTAGCTCATTAACGTATTAAAATTGTTCTTTGTATTCTGGGGCGTGCGCAGGGGCGCATTTCCCCACTAATATCTCACATAAATATATACTTGAATATTGTTTAAACAATTGTTTTTGTATATAACACAAGTACATAAATAAAGAGAAACCTAACGCACTTTACATTCTGTGTATTATTGTAATGTTGATAATATTTACACGTAACTTTAATTCTACAAAGACTTTGTCATTTATATTGTTCAAAATAACAACAATATTTTTCTGATATGTATGACAAGCTCCCCCTACAGTGCACGTACAGCACCAAGTGCATACAGTAGCGTTAGGCGAGACACTGGAAATTCGTTGCGAAGGGGCGGGAGATTTGCCTATGAAAGTCACGTGGACGAAGGAAGACCGTTACATCACACGTTCGTACGACGGAAGGTAAGGAATAATCACGTGATGACACAGACGTAAACTTAAGACTAACCTAGCGTTTTCTTTACGTGTTTTAATACTTGTTTTAGTTTCCTCTTTAAATTCTAACTAATCACTTACTTCATTATTAGTCTAATTAGCAGCCATGTAGTTTTCAACTGTTCGAAATCTTCACAAAGTTATGTAAGCGTCGTTGTTATTTTAGTTATCAAACTTTATAAAGAAGTGAAAAATATAAGTGTCGAGTTACTAAATGATTTCAACGAAACTAATTTAATCTAAGCTTGGAATAATAACTCGCCTGTTTCTTATATATATATATATATATTAATACAGGGCCTTAGGAAGCGGTAAGGCCAGTTAGGCCATGGCCTAACCATTTTATCAGGATATGTATAGCTACCACTTATGTATTGAAACCTGCTTATTTTAATTCAATACGTTACGTTGAGTGAATGCAATATTTGTAGTTCAAATTGCTCAAGATTCAATCTTATAGCATTAAATTTTCAAAACTTTTCGGGTGGACCATGCTCACAGACCCCCTAGAAATGGCAATGTGGTAATATCCTGACCACTCCAAAGTTGCTTCCTACAGTAATGTAGAGTTATCCATCTCAGTGGAAAGGTACTTACTCATCTATTATCCTATATATACTCATGGTCGTCGGTTAATTTTCCGTAGAAACTCTTTCCAGAAAAAAAAAAAAAACTTAGCGATACAAGTCCTTTCTTAATTAAAACTGGTTTATTCTTTCTCAATTCAACTTTGCAATACACTTAATTTCCACAGTCACCTTAACTTAAACACACGCTATAATTTCAAACGAACGATTCACGCACTTGACTTACTACCGCGCTTGACTCAATTGTCCGTCTATATCTTCAATCTCTCTGTCTGCTATATGATTCTAGTCCGATTCATTGTCTGGCGCACTTATATACAAGAATAGAGGGCGCCTGGCAAATACTGGATTATTCGTGATATTCCCCGATCTTTCTAGAACTCATTACGTGTTACCATCGTCACGTGACTTCCGCTGTCGTAACAATATTCTCTACATCTTTTCCTTTCAGCTTTTTTCTTCTACTTTATAAACTTCCACTTCTAGAAAATAGTTAACATAGAAGTAAAAGTAGGAAATAATATATTAAGACTTCAGATACCAGTTACGTTTCCTCATGTCAGAATTGTAAATGGATTTTTCAGATAGAATATAGAAAACTTCATCTATTTTTGAGTATTAGTAACAATCCTTATTTTCATAACCAGTCGTGAAAAAAACCTAATAAATAGACGGCAACAGAAATAATCATAAAAACTAAAGACGGATTTCACTTTAATCGATAACCTAAATATGAAGTGTTCCAGATCATGTAATAACCCTCCAATATGTTCGATATCGTGTGGTTAAGTAACTTTACATTTATTGAAAGAAGTACAAGATTTCCAAATTTCTGGTATAGTCCTGTAGGTTTTTTTATGGGTAGTTTTTACAATGTAAGTTAAAAAGCGTCAATATAAATATATATATATATACCTAGTAGGATTTTATTGTCTTTGTCAAACAAATAAATTCAACTTGGTTGTGAATTTGCCTACAATTTTCAGCGAAAACAAGTGTTCTTCTGGGAAAAAAATACTTATATCTGTATTACAAAGTACACACATGCGCATGTTCAGTGCAAGTTCGAATTTACAACAAAAAATGGGACAGACGTACAGACTTTAATGATACCAGTGAAAACAGACGAGAGCGAAAACAAGGCATAAAACTCTTACTAAAATTAATTATTTTCTCCTGATCAAACTTTTCAATATAAAATTATTGGATGAGTAATAAAATTTCCACTTCACTAATTTAAGGTTTTATGAATATGTGTGAAGCTAGCTCACCGTGTGTGAAGCTAGCCCACCGTGTGAAGCTAGCCCACCGTGTGTGAAGCTAGCCCACCGTGTGTGAAGCTAGCCCACCGTGTGACTTTGGGCTAACTCTTTGTCCACCAGTAGATCAGCTGTTAGTTTACGGCCTTACATGGCTAAATTCGGGGTTCGATTCCCGTGGTGGACAGCGGACAGATAGCCCATTGTGTGGCTTTGCGCTAAAACAAACAAACTCGTGTTGGACCCTGGTGGCGTTTCCATGAAGTTCAAGCTGAAATGTGTCTCCTCTGTTCTGATAGAATCCTTGTGGTTCAAAGCCTCTATTTCTGAAAAACAAATAATTTTCTTCAGAACTCCGGAACGTAATGGAGAAGGTACAACGATTCTTATTCATATAGTACAAAAGTGAAGAGGGGTGAAATGGAACAGCTTTTTTCATACCTTTGATAGCTTTTAAAGCTCAGTCAAACATTTATCGGTTATATAGTCGTAATTTATGCAGCTATGCATCTTGTACCAAGTACAGGTTTAAAACAGCCTATAATAAAACTATAAAATGATGTCAACAACGAAAAAAGAATTGGGGTGGAAAATCCAATCGATATTCATTTTGACTTTTATTAGGTCGTCAAGAAATTAATGTCGCTTTTTTTTAGATATAAAAACCCGAACAATTTATATATGAAAACAAAACATTTTTAAATGAAATAGTTTCCATTCTTATCGATGATGCTTTTCCATCTTACAATCAGTTTGTTAGTGCACTGATTAAAGAAATCACTTGGCTTTGAAGCAAATACATGTCGATGTCCTCTTTAACACCTTCCACGTTTGCATACGTTTTCCCATTAAGATGGTGTTGCAGCGAATGAAAAAAATGGTAATCTAATGGTGCCATATCTGGAGAGTATGGTGGGTGGGGGAGAGCTTCCCAACTCAACTCCATAATCTTGTGTTGCGTCAAACGTGCCACATGTGGACGTGCATTGTCGTGGAGAAGAAGAACACCTTTCTGATAGACGAGTGAAGGGCGTTTCTGATGAAGGGCTTGATTTAAACGTTCCAGTTGCTGACTATAGATCTCTGCATTGACAGTTCGCTGTGGATTGAGGAGTTCGAAATGAATTACTCCTTTGATGTCCCACCAAATGCAAAGCATCACTTTCTGCGGATGGAGTCTAGGTTTAGGGGACGGAAGTGGTTTTTGTCTAGGACTAAGCCATTGTTTTTGGCATTCATTATTCGCACAGAGATCCATTTTTCATCGCCGGTGACAATACTGTCCAAAAATGGTTCACGCGCCAGAAGAAACGAAGCAACGTTTACACATTGAAAACGATG